AAAAAAACATGCGTACAATATCAATATGTCGTCCCCGACTTCGTTCGGGGCGACATAATAACTCCTGAATTTTTCTCATCAATAACTCCTGAATTTTCCCCTTCAATTCGAGCATTTCTGCATTGCAGAGAGTTGATGTGTGTTATGACATGATAAATCATGTGTAAACTTTCTCAGTTTAGCGGAATCATGAACATTTTCGGCGAGATGAATGTTTTGTATACAGTGATGATCAAGGCTTTGCGAACCTGCAGGAGCGAATCAAAGGATTTATGAATGAATAAAAACTCTGGAAATGACGTACCAATTTTTTAATTTATACTTGCACTATCTAATGAAATGAATAATATACAAGTGATAGATATACAAGAAAACGCGAAATGATAATAAATGCAGCTGACAATCGTTATTTTTTTTTATATAGATAAAATAAAATATTTATAAATTCAAGAGACAAAACAGAAGGAGAATGAATGATGGCAAAATATCACATGATGGGAACTGAATTTTATGAATGAAGATTTTAAAAAGTTACTTGTAAGTTGTATATGTTATATCTGTGTATTCTACTTGGCTGTGTGCTTCAAAAAGGGGGGGGGGTCGTCTTGAACATAGTAAATAGCCATAACGTTTGAACGGTAAGTACTAGGGCTTTCGTATTTCAAATATGCAATCCTTGTGAAAAGAACTTTTATTGGATACGACGAACTTTGACCCTTTGACCTAGACCTTGGAGAACACATGTGTACATCTGAATCTTTTTTTCTGTTTCGTTTCTATGGCAACCGTGAGCGACTCATTACAATTATTTTGAAAGTAGAAATCACTTTGACACATTGCAAGGAATAAACGTTGAAAGTTTCAAAACGATTGCCTGAGTAGTTATTGAGAAAATCGAAATTAAAGAATTTTAACTTTCACCTGGTTTCCATGGCAATAATCGATTATTTGAAAATTTTAAATGCGAGATGCACAACTACAGATACTAATCATTAAAATAAGAAAAGTTTCATGACGAACATTTAAGGGACCAGAGAGAACACTCTCGGACAAAATTTGTCGCTTTTTACAGGTTTCCATGGCAACGGTAGACATATTGGAACTGAACGACCTCACTGCACAACTACAACCAGTGATCGTCCTTTGAGGAAAGTTTCAGAAAGATTGTCCCAGCCATCTCCGAGAAACAGCCTGGATAAAAAAAACATGCGTACAATATCAATATGTCGTCCCCGACTTCGTTCGGGGCGACATAATAACTCCTGAATTTTTCTCATCAATAACTCCTGAATTTTCCCCTTCAATTCGAGCATTTCTGCATTGCAGAGAGTTGATGTGTGTTATGACATGATAAATCATGTGTAAACTTTCTCAGTTTAGCGGAATCATGAACATTTTCGGCGAGATGAATGTTTTGTATACAGTGATGATCAAGGCTTTGCGAACCTGCAGGAGCGAATCAAAGGATTTATGAATGAATAAAAACTCTGGAAATGACGTACCAATTTTTTAATTTATACTTGCACTATCTAATGAAATGAATAATATACAAGTGATAGATATACAAGAAAACGCGAAATGATAATAAATGCAGCTGACAATCGTTATTTTTTTTTATATAGATAAAATAAAATATTTATAAATTCAAGAGACAAAACAGAAGGAGAATGAATGATGGCAAAATATCACATGATGGGAACTTTGAATTTTATGAATGAAGATTTTAAAAAGTTACTTGTAAGTTGTATATGTTATATCTGTGTATTCTACTTGGCTGTGTGCTTCAAAAAGGGGGGGGGGTTATTCTTGAACATAGTAAATAGCCATAACGTTTGAACGGTAAGTACTAGTTTTCGTATTTCAAATATGTAATCCTTGTGAAAAGAACTTTTATTGGATACGACGAACTTTGACCCTTTGACCTAGACCTTGGAGAACACATGTGTACATCTGAATATTTTTTTCTGTTTCGTTTCTATGGCAACCGTGAGCGACTCATTACAATTATTTTGAAAGTAGAAATCACTTTGACACATTGCAAGGAATAAACATTGAAAGTTTTCAAAACGATTGCCTGAGTAGTTATTGAGAAAATCGAAATTAAAGAATTTTAACTTTCACCTGGTTTCCATGGCAATAATCGATTATTTGAAAATTTTAAATGCGAGGCGTACAACTACAGATACTAATCATTAAAATAAGAAAAGTTTCATGACGAACGTTTAAGGGACCAGAGAGAACACTCTCACAAAATTTGTCGCTTATATACAGGTTTCCATGGCAACGGTAGACATATTGGAACTGAAAGTTTCACTGCACAACTACAACCAGTGATCGTCCTTTGAGGAAAGTTTCGTTGTACCATCAAAAACAGCCTGGATAAAAAAAAAATGCGTACAATATAATAATAATAATAATAACTAGAGCAAAGCTCGTTGCAAAGCAACGAGTGGGTCTTCCTTCCAAGCGATCAGCAAAAGATTAAATGTTTCTGTCTAGATTGTCAACTTTGCTAACATTCTATTTTTTGATTTGTCTCCAGAAACCCTTACTTAAATTCTTTAATTTGGTGTGAGCATCAAAGGGTACTCTCTCTAAACAGCATTTTTGAAATGCTACTTCAACAGTTTAACTTCCAATATTATGACTTTTGATATTGGATACATGTATATGATGTTTGTTGCAATTATGTTTGTGAAAAACGTGTCAAGAACAGAAACATAAGTGTTTTGCTACATTACCACTTCCAGAAGTCTTGTCCGAGAAGTAGCTCTACTGGTATGTACTTATCAAAAACCATTGCACTATTTTATGTATCTTTGTGTAGTCTACTTGTGTGCCAACTTATATTGAAATCAAACTAGAACTGTAGAAGGAGTAGCGTTTTTAAGGAATTTCACAGAAAATTCTATTTTTATTTTTAGTAACCATGGTAACACCATTCATTGAAATCAGAAACTTATGCACTATTCTATGTATCTTAGGGTAGTCTACTTGTGTGCCAAGTTATACTAAAATCAGACCAAAACTGTAGAAGGAGTAATGTTTTAAAGGAATTTCACAGAAAATTCTATTTTTAGTAACCATGGCAACATCGTTCATTGAAATTAAAAACCGATGCACTATTCCATGTATCTTAGTATAGTCTATTTGTGTGCCAAGTTATTTTGGAATCAGACCAAAACTGTAGAAGGAGTAGCGTTTTTGGAATTTCACAGAAAATTCTTCTTCTAGTAACCATGGCAACATCGTTCATCAAAATTAAAAAACGATGCACTATTCTGTGTATCTGAGTGTAGTTTTGTGTGCCAAGTAATATTGAAATCAGACCAAAACTGTAAAAATCACAAAGGAATTTCACAGAAAATTCTTCTTTTAAACCATGGCAACATCGTTCATTGAAATTAAAAACCGATGCACTATTTTATGTATCTGAGTGTAGTCTACTTGTGTGCCAAGTGTAATATTGAAATCAGACCAAAACTGTAGAAGGAGTAGCGTTTTTAAAATTTCACAAAAAATTCTATTTTTAGTAACCATGGCAACACCGTTCATAAAAATCAAAAACCAATGCACTAACTTGTGTATCTTAGTGTAGTCTACTAGTGTGCCAAGTTATATTGAAATCAGACCAAAACTGTGGAAGCTCGTTGCAAAGCAACGAGTAGCGTTTTAAAGGATTTCACAAAAATTTAATGTTTCAGTAACCATGGCAACACCGTTCATCGAAATCAAAAACCGATGCACAATTCTATGTATCTTAGTGTAGTCTACTTGTGTGCCAAGTTATATTGAAATCAGACCAAAACTGTGGAAGGATGAGGTTTAAAGGAATTCTCAAAAAAAATTCTATTATTAGTAACCATGGCAACAATGTTCATCGAACTTAAAAACCCATGCACTATTCTATGACTTTTGATATACGTGTGCCATATATTGAAATGTTTGTTGCAGGAGTATGTTTGTTGTTTACAACGTGTCATACTACAGAAACATAATCGCATGTTTTGCTACATCTGACCATAGAGCTAAAAATGGCTTTAAAATCATTTAATATACAATATAACTAGGTAAATAAAATAAACAAATTATATAATAATTCAAAAAATCCAAATGTATTTACAATAATGATGAACAATCTTCATTAGTTGCAATCAGTAAGTAGAACAATACTTTTATAATAAACGCACAGAAATGTGTTGTGTATGTTTCGAATTTGCAGCTTTCCACTAGCAACTGGTGGTACCTCAATAGGAGTGTAAAATTCTCTGAAAGGTATATTGTAAACATATTACATATGGCTGTGTATTCTTTTTTAGCGGCTTTGGCGGAATGCAGCAATCACTAAATCAAGTACAAAGCTAAAAGTCTTGTACATAAACATAAATAAGAATATCTACGCTAACTTATTCAAAAGTCAATTTCCACCAAATATTGTACAAGCTAAATATAATACATTTACAGCATTAAAGAAACAAATCTCTTTGAAGGTATTGCCCTGCATAAGAACAATTTGAATCCCCTACACTAAGGATGCTCTGTGCCAAGTTTCACTTTGGTTCTGGAAAATGATATTGTGAAATTTTAGACAATGATGATAATGGATAAAATTATGTTTTTAAAAAATTTACTGGTTCCTTTAGCTCAGATGGGCTAATAAGTATGCAACAGGCACAGTTTTGCAGTTGACATTGAAATGCGACTGGACATCTCTTCAATCTTGTTTTAGAAAACTACATGTACATGCCCTATGTACTGAATTCCTTGGAATCATACACATGTTTATGCCTTTAATTAGTTGTATGTGCCAAAATAACAATTTTTTTTACATTATACTTTAAAAAATACACATACATGTATTACAAGATCTTATATTCCTGCTGAAGACAGAGGATCTATCTTAATCATTAGAATAAGTAAGTCTAAACTTTGAAAGGGAAGACCTTAAATAAAGAGGTCAACATGCTACACAAACAAAATATTATTATATTTAAAAATAACATTTATTCCAATGTAATTACTGGTACATGTATTTCTGTTACAAAAACTATTTCACTTGAAAAACTGAGAGCAATTGATATGTTCATATTTGTGGATTTATGTTGTCAAATCAAAATTTAAAAATGATACACAGTGTGTTTAAAAATTGTCTTCACAAACCAAAACTTGACTTATTTTCACTATGCTGTTTATTCCATGTCACATCCAAACAGATGATCTTCTGGCAAATCATGGTCATGCTTGGTATCAAAATTCAGTCTTCAGATGAGTCACACCTATCCAAAAGAAATTGAAATTTTTTAATTTATAATTCTTTTACTAATAAAAAGTGCAATTCATGAGATTATAAATTAGATTATCAAATTGAGAGATAAGATATTGTCACATTTTCTGTGTATAATTTGTAAATTTTAATGTACTCTTTCATCAATTAAAAGAAGTTTACACCAATTAAGGCAGTCATTTATGCTATCCCCTAATAAGACAACATACAAGTGCAAAGTAATCATGCACTAGTGGGTTTAGGATAATGTGCTAGAGTATTTATGACAACATACTAGCACGAGGTTACAATGTGCTAGCATGTACTTCAGTGATAATATGCCAGCACACTGAATCCAACATGCAGTGAAGCTAACACTCAACAGATTGTTTAAAGTTGTGTTTGCATGATATTTTGTTTTGTGTTAACACAGCAGCGTGTTGTTTAAAGCTGCATTGGAGTGGCAGTCTGTTGAAATTAACATGCTAACACACTGCAACTTCACATCATTGGAACACCATAATTTTAAAACTGACACACCAATATCTTATGATTACTAACTAGGTAATTGCAACTGTAAATGCTGATTTCATGGTGACAATAATACCGGTAATTCACTGTATATATGAGAACTGATCAATTATAATAAGGCGTGTCCAGATAGGGCCACTTGCTAAAGCTCAATAGCACTTTCATCAAAGCGTTCCATCTTACCGACACAAAAGACGCCATTAGGCTATCACACAGCTCGCCATCACAACACTGAAAAACACTTTTGCACTAACACAAGTTCGCACCACACGCTGTCACACTAACACACAACACACTGTCACGCTAATACAATTTCACACAACAAAATATCAGGCTAACACAAGTTCACACAACACACTATCATGCTAACACAAATTCACAAACACGCTGTCTCGCTAACACAAGTTCACACAACACGCTGTCTTGCTAACACAAGTTTTACACAACACGCAGTCTCGCTAATATGAGTTCATACAACACACTGTCTAGCTAACACGAGTTAACTCAACAACACACTGTCACGCTAACATGAGTTTACACAACACGCAGTCTCACTAACACGCGTTTACACAATACACTGTCACGCTAACACGAGTTTACACAATACACTGTCACGCTAACACAAAGTCACAAAACAGGCTGTCTCACTATTCACTAACACAAGTTTGCACCAAATGTTGTTGCCATAACACACTGTCATCCCAATACCATTTCACACAACACACTGTCATTCTAATACCATTTCACACAACACACTGTCAGGCTAACACAAGTTCACACAACACACTGTCACTCTAACACGAATTCACAAAACAGGCTGTCTCACTATTCACTAACACAAGTTCGCACCAAACGCTGTTGCGATAACACACTGTCATCCTAATACCATTTCACACAACACACTGTCATCCTAATACCATTTCACACAACACACTGTCAGGCTAACACGTGTTCACACAACACACTGTCACACTAACACAAATTCAAAAAACATGCAATATCGCTAACAGGAGTTCACATAACACGCAGTCTGGCTAACACGAGGTCACACAATATGCAATCTCGCTAACACGAGTTCACACAACACACTATCTCTCTAACACCAGTTCACACGACAAATTTTCAGGATAACAAGTTCACACAACACACTGTCATGCTAACACGAATTCACACAACATGCTGTCTCATTTAATAAGAGTTCACACAACACGCTGTCTCGCTAACATTGAGTTTACACAACATGCAGTCTCGCTAACACGAGTTTACACAACACGCAGTCTCACTAACACCAGTTTACACAACACAACACGAAGTCTCGTTAATACGAGTTCAATCAACACTCTGTCTAGCTAACACGAGTTTACACAACACACTGTCACACTTACACTTTATACATGATTTCACACAACATGCTGTCCCGCTAACACGAGTTTACGCAACACATCGTCAAGCTAACAAGAATTCACACAACCCACTGTCAGGCTAACACAATTAAGTTCACAAAACACACTGCCTTGCTAACACAAATTCATACAACACACTGTCTCGCTAACACAAGTTCACACAACACACTCACATTGCTGAGTTTAAAGTAAAGGTCTACCCTAATTTGAAGAGGTTTAACACTAACATATCTCTATATTAGTAAAAAGCTTCAAATTTAAGACAAAAACATTTATGCAGTAATGTTCCTTAACATGCATCTGGCATATAAAATGAATGAGACCTTAAAAACCTCACAGTACATGTTTACTTAGCTAATTAAAGGTCTAAATTGATGCTATTCAACAATATATATCAACATCTCTGAGTATGTAAATGAGTGAAATTCTCAAATAAATATTATAAATCAAAGTATCAATAAGAAGCTGAACCTTACGTCGCAGGTTCCAATCCCATTGCTAAATGCTTTAGACAGGTTACTCCTATGAGACTGCATAAACCAAGATTCTGTGTCACGGTAGGTGTTAGCACAAAATGGATCTCATACTTCTTAAAGGCAATAAGTGCTGAGTACAAGTCTATATTTGCAGCTAATACCATCCCAAGTGGTGGCACCATGAAATGACTGAAAAATGTATGATTAAGGCAAATAAACAAACATTAAACCATTACAGCAGTCTTATCAAACAAAAAAGCAAACTTTCTATTATTACAATTTTTTAAAACAAATTTCTTTTGCAATTTAACTGAGCAATATTTGTCTTTTTTTGTCAGTAAAGTATGATATTAAATAATTAAGACTTTTTGAGAACATCTATTTATAGCGAGTCCAGACAGCAGCACAAATCCCTGCCCATAATGCGAGCTCTTATGATAACACCTTGGCAAAAGAAGATTGTGACTTGCACATTGCTCCACACAATTTTTCCGCAGTATACTTTGGACACACAGTGCTTAGCTTCTTTAACATGTTTAAGCTACATTCAAAATTCATTTCTATTTAATTTGAATTAGCTATCCTTACTCATGTTCACATGGAGCTAATGCGAAGTAATTTAACGAGCAGTGAATTCATTCGAATTAAACATTTGAATAAACTCTCAGTGTGAACATTGAGCATGGATGCACCAAATGTCAAATGTGGCTTGACAAGCACAATCTAAATTAAAACTAAATAAGTATCTGCCCTCACCCTTACAGTCACACTGTCAATATATAATTAAATGTTGAATATATTCTGTAACATTATATAGTCGTGTGAGCAATCGACAAAATGAATTAAATTTAACCCAAAATTCGTGTTCCTAGAAAAATTGGGTATGATCACAGTATGATAGATTTTGTAGTAGTTTACTGTTGAAATTACATCCTCAAATTTAAAAAAAATAGGACTAAAATATAAAGCTGTGGGGATTTAACAAATGTTAGTAAACAGATCGATGGATTGAATTGTGCATCATTATCGATTTGAAAAGATAAAATTTATGATAATATATGATTAGGAGGTCAGGATACGGTGTGTCTGTCGTATTTGCCTAAACTCAGCGCTAAAAATCGTCATGTTTCAAAAATTGTTGATTTACCCGAACTTTCATTTCTTAATCTTTCCTTTGTAAAGCAAAAATTTCATGTAAGCCAAAGTGTAAATTTTAAGTAATAAAAATATTCTAACCTTCATTCCAATGGTCAATTTTAAAAAATAAACAAGCCAATCATACATTAAAATAACGCCGTCAGCTCTTTCATCACATTAAGTGCGATACAATGATATCACTGGGGAAATTACATCCTCAAATTTAAAAAAAAATAAAATATAAAGCTGTGGGGATTTACAAGGCAAACAGAGAGCAACTGTAAAACAGATAATATATCGTGTGTCATCCTTGTTAATGTGACAGTCAGAATTTCCTCGTAAACAATTCACACAAGATTCTTAGAATATATGAATCGGCATAATTCTGCTTAGAATAATGTTCCAGAGAAGTGACAAAGTACTTCGTAGCTCCAGATTGAATGAGTGTGCATGTCTACAAACGGATTCTTTGTGAGAAAATGTTCAACTCCTCACAAATCATTCTATTTTCAGTTTGTAAACCATGGCAAACATGTGTCCGACGTCGACTCGAAGGGGCACACTAAAAACGGGATATACTAGAGACCTGATATTTACCTGACGTTTTAATTTTTAATTTAATGGTAATATTGAGTATTTTAAATGTCTTATGTACAGACTTTATGACGACTTCGAGGCATATGTTATACAAAAATACAATTGTTTGGAACATTTACAGACAAATTTGAATCAGGTCAAATCAGTGTTTAGTACATCGCGTCTTTAGTACCTTCCTATTAATTCCCACAATGCCGCGCGTTGTTTACAAACAAGCGCGAAAAAATCCTCTAAACTAGGTACTAATTATTGTTGTGTATATTGAGGTATATTTACTATACAAAAACAGCGATGAGACCGTGGTCTCTTCTATCACGTGACTAATCAGAACGAGGCTACTTTCATTTTTGCATTGCCTACGTGCAGCATGGGATCATTGATAATTAAGACCTGATGATATCTTCAGATTACAGCCTATTAAGCTGGAAGTAAGTGACAGTGTAACATAACATAAACCTTGTCATGGTCTAAAATGCAAATTTTGCACATAGAAAGCCATGATGATCATTTTTTAAATGTTTTTTACCAACTGAAATGACTAGATACTTGTCATGGTCTCTAAATAACAACTACATATAAGAGACCAGGGAATATAACACACAATATACTTGTCACAGTCTCTATATAACAACTACACACAAGAGACCAGGGAGTATTACATACTATATGCTTGTCATGGTCTCTATATAACTATTACACACAAGAGACCAGGAACTAAAACACGCTAAATACTTGTCACAGTCTCATATAACAATTACATACAAGAGACAAGGGACTAAAACACACTATATACTTGTCACGGTCTCTATACTTATTACATACAAGAGACCGGGGACTTTAATACACTACATACTTGTCATGGTCTCTTTATAACAATTACATACAAGAGACCAGGGACTATAATACACTATATACATGTCACGGTGTCTATATAACAATTACATACAAGAGACCAGGGACTATAACACACTATATACATGTCACGGTCTCTATATAACAATTACATACAAGAGACCAGGGACTATGATACGCTATATACTTGTCGTGGTCTCTATATAACAATTACATACAAGAGACCAGGGACTATTATACACTATATACATGTCATGGTCTCTTTATAACTATTTCATACACGAGACCAGGGACTATAATACACTATATACTTGTCACGGTCTCTATATAACAATTACATACAAGAGACCAGGGACTACAATACACTATATACATGTCACGGTCTCTATATAACAATTACATACAAGAGACCAGGGACTATTATACACTATATACATGTCATGGTCTCTTTATAACTATTTCATACAAGAGACCAGGGACTATAATACACTATATACTTGTCATGGTCTCTATATAACAATTACATACAAGAGACCAGGGACTTTAATACACTATATACTTGTCATGGTCTCTATATAACAATTACATACAAGAGACCAGGGACTATAATACACTATATACTTGTCATGGTCTCCATATATAACAATTACATACAAGAGACCAGGGACTAT